AGCCGATCCTCATCAAAACACATCGTGCCTGAAAGTTTGCAACACGATCGGCCAAAGTAATGAGGGTCGGGAACTCGCTGCATGTTCCTGCCTGCATGATGCAACCCCAAGCATGCTCGCGGCGTTGCAGCTTTTAATTGACTTCAAATCATTGCGAGATTGGTCGTGCAACATCGCCTCATTAAGTGGATCTTGAGTGTAATTCCCCAGAGAGGGTTCTTCTCCCCCGCCGGTTGAAAAAAAAAGAAACTCGTTAGGGATGAACACAAAGAATAATACATGATAAATAGATAAATGGAATAAAGAAGAAGGTAAATCCAACGCCGTGAAGAAAGGAGGGAAGTAAACATCTTGATCAGGAGCAAGAGGAGAGAGGTTTGCGAAATGAAAACAAACGCCCCTTTCCTCTCTCTTGACACTCCCCTTCTTCCTCTCCTCTCTCTCCCTTCTTCTTTTCCGTATCTTTCTCCCTTCTCATAATCTTCATCTTCTCTATCTCCTCCTCGCTTCTTTCTATCTCTCGCGTATCTCTCCTTCCTTTCGCTGTCCTCTCCCCATCGTCCCTTCTCTTCCTTTCTCTCTCTCTCTCTTCCTCTCTCTTCTCTCTCTCTCTCTCTCTCTCTCTCTCTCGCTCTCTCTCTCTCTCTCTCTTCTTCTCTCTCTCCTCTCTCTCCTGTCTTCTCTCTCTCTCTCTCTTCCCCTCAATTCCTCATTGCCTTCCTTCATTTTACCTTATTTTATCTTCGTAATCTCCTCTTCCTCTACCTTTCCTTATCTTCTCCTCCCCTTTTCCGCCTCTACCCTTCTCCTCTCCTACCCTTATCTGCATCTCCCCCTCTCCTCCCGTCCCTTCCCCTCTTCTCTCTTCCTTTCCCCTTCTCTCCACCACCTCCTCCCTTCCCTTCCCCCTGCTCTCCCCAGTCTCCCCTTCCCCCTGCTCCTCTCCCCTCCTCCCCCCACTCCCCTTCCCCCTCCATCCTCTTCCACTTCTCCCCCCTCCACCCCAGTCTCCCTTCCCTCTCCTCTCCCCCTACTCCTCCCTTCCCTACCCCTCCTCTCCCACTACTCCTTCCTACCCCTCCTCTCAGACTGCACTCTCCCTTCCCTCCCGCCTCCACTTCCTCTTCCCACCTTCTCCTTCCCTCCTCTCCCCAGTCCTTACCCTCCTCTCCCTCTCACTCTTTCCTTCCCTACCCCCTCTCTCCCCACTCTCCCTTCCCTTCTCCGTCCCATTCCTCCCCTTCCCTCCCTTCGTCTCCCATCCTTCCTACCCTTCTCCTTCCCTACCCTCCTCTCCCCATCCTCCTTCCTCTCGCCCAAACTCCTCTTCCTCCCCTCCCCTCCCTACACTGCTTCCCTTCCCCCACTCCTCTTCTCCCCCATCCTTCCCCTGAGTGTGTATTCTCCCTCCCTACCCCTCCCTCTCCTCTCCCCTACCTTCCCTACCCCCTCCTCTCCCCCCAGTCCTCCCTTACCCCTCCTCTCCTCCAGTCTCCCCTCTCCTCTCCCTTCCCTCTCCCCCCCTCCCTTCCCTACCCCTCCTCTCCCCACTCCTCCCTTCCCCCTCATCCTTCCCTACCCTCTCTCCTCCTCCTCCCCCTCCTTCCCTTCCCCTCCTCTCCCCCCCCTCCTCCCTCCACCCCTCTCCTCTCCTTCCCTCTCCTCCTCCCCAACCTTCCCTACCCTTCTCTCCTTCCCCATCCTTCCCTACCCCTCCTCTCCCCACTCCTCCCTTCCCTCTCCTCTCCCCACCCTTCCCTTCCCTACCCCTCCTCTGCCTACTCTCCCTTCCCTACCCCTCCCTCCCCCACTCCTCCCTTTCCTACCCCTCCTCTCCCCACTCCTCCCCCCCCCCCCTCCTCTCCCCTCCGCACTAACCTACCGCACTCGCTGGTGTTGCTAACGGACGAAGCTCACGAGAGTACGGACAGTACCCAAAAAAGGAGAATCAATATTACATGCAGAACTACCGGGTTGGCGTGTCCTCTCCCTCCCCCCTTCCCTTCTGTACTCTCTTTTGCTCTCTTTCTCTTGGTATCTTCTTCCTCTTTATTTATTTTTTGTTGTTGTTGTTGTTGTTATTGGTGACTTTAGTTCTGTTATCGCTTTCTCTTAGCACTCCATGTGTTTTTTTTCTCTCTCTCTCTCTCTCTCTCTCTCTCTCTCTCTCTCTCTCTCTCTGTCTCTCTCTCTCTCCTCTCTCTCCTCTCCCTCTCTCCTCTCTTTCTCTTCTCTACTTCCATCAGTTTGCCACACCTACCTACTACTCTACACAACACGCCACCCACGCCAACACTTTTACGCAACGCATCTTTCATCTTCTCTCTCTCTCTTTCTCCCTCTCTCTCCCCTCCCTTAACGGCTCTCCCTCTCTTGCCTCAACCTTCTCCCTCCCTCCCCTCCCTCAACCCACTCCCTTTCCCTCTCCCTCTCTCGACCCTCTCCCTTTCCCTCCCTTGACCTTCTCCCACTCCCTCTCCCTCCCTCTGTCAAACTACCTCCCCCTCCCTCCCTCTCCTCCTCTCTTTCCCTCAACCTCAACCCTCTCCTTTAACCCGTCATCGTACCCACACTACTACCCGCATCGCCGCACAATCCAAGTCACCATACAGTTCTCCGCCGAAACGCTACGGCCGCTGCATCTCACGCCCCTGCACACCCCCGCCCCCCTGCACACCACCGCCCCTGCACACCTGCCCACACCCCCCCTGCCACACCACCACCCGCAACCCCCTGCCCCTGAACACCCCCGCCCCTGCACATCCCTGCCCCACCCCCCCGCCCCTGCACACCACCCCCGCCCGCTGCACACACCCCTGCACACCCCCGCCCCCTGCACCCCCTGCCCCTGCACATCCCTGCCCTGATCCCCGCCCCTGCACACCCCCCTGCAACCCACTGCACACCCCCGCCCCTGCACCCCCCCGCCCCTGCACACCCCCTGCACCTCTGCCACCCCCGCCCGCTGCACCCACCGCAAAACACCCCCTGCCCCTGCACACCCGCGCCTGCCACATGCCCCTGCACACCCCCGCCCCTGCACACACCCGCCCTGCATACCCCCGCGCCCCTGCACACCCCCGCCCCTGCACACCACCGCCCTGCACACCCCCGCCCCTGATGGCCCTGCACCCCGCCCCCTGCACACCCTCCCCTGCACACCCCCGCCCCTGCACCGCCCCTGCACACACCGCCCTGCCAACACCCCGCCCCTGCACACCCCCGCCCCTGCACACCCCGCCCTGCACAACCACCGCCCCTGCACACCCCCGCCCCTGACACCACCGCCCCTGCACACGCCCCTGCCCGGCTGCCACACCACCGCCCCTGCATACCCCCGCCCCTGCACACCACCGCCCCTGCACATACACCCGCCCCTGCACACCGCCCGCCCCTGAACACCGCCGCCGCCTGCACATCCTGCCCCTGAACGCCCCCTGCCCCCCCGCCCCTGCAGCACACCAACCCCCAGCCCTGCACACCCCCGCCCCTGCACACCCCGCCCCTGCACACCACCGCCCCTGCACACCCCCGCCCCTGCACACCACCGCCCCTGCACACCCCCTGGCCCTCTGCACTGACACACTGCCCTGACACGCCCTGCCCTGCACACGCCCGCCCCTGCACACGCCCTGCCTGCACACCCCCGCCCCTGCACACCCCCCCCGCCTGCACACCACCGCACTCCCTCACTCCTGCGGCGGGATCGGGGTGAATTTGCGCGCCTGGCGACAAGTTCTCGACGTGTTTGCAGGCCCCGACGTAGCGCCCCTCCGTGAACGTTGCAAAATCGTTCGCTTTCGTAATGACTTGTTCGTTTGTTTTATGCCAGAGAGACTAATGGCGGTCGTGCGTGAACTGCAATATGTTTTTCTTTTAAATATGTTTGCAACGTGAATATTATTCCCATGCGCACTGTGAAAGAAAATTTACAAAGCCATTCATTATTGGAACCTATTCCTCCTCCGCCGAATAAACAAATAAAAACAAACACACAAAAAAAACAGCAACAAACCAAAAACAAATAAAACAAACAAACAAAAAAACGCAAATAAAAGCGCAATATCCGAAAGAGAAAAGGAAATGTCCAGGAAAAGGCACAACTCGCCACTGTTTACAGGAAGCCTCGTGGTGCGTGTGGAGTGCGGAGGGTCTTGATGCGCGCTGTTCTCTGTTCTCTGGGCTCTGTTCTTCCGGAGTTCCCTTTCGCTTGCTCTTGAGAACTACTCCCTTGAGAACTTCCACTACCTGTCGGTCTTTTTTATATATATATATAACTTGTTTTTATTATAGCTTGTTCGTCTCTCTTCTCTTCTCTCTCTCTCTCTCTCTCTCCCTCTCTCCTCTATTTCTCGCATATATGTACGCGTAAATTATGCACTGGTAGGTTACTTTGATAACCTTCTAAACAATCACCAACATTCTAAACAATCATTCTGCACCCCCTCACACGAACCAAAAGAAAACAAAATAACAACTAAAAAACTAATGCAGTTCCCGGCCGGCCCCCTGTGCCTCCCGAAAGCGACAAAGCGGGGCCAAGAACCGACCCTCGGAGAAATCTTCCTTAAAAAAATCAATACTGACGCATTCTCGGTGTATTACCGCACCAGGCGTCCTTGGCTCCTCGGCCCCTCCCCCCTTCCACCCCTCCTTTCTCCTCTTCCCTTCCACCCCTCTCTTTCTCCTCTTCCACCCCCCCTCTCTTCTCCTCTTTCCCCTTCCACCCCCTCTCTTCTCCTCTTCCCTTTCCCTCCTCTCTTTCCTCTTCCTTTCCACCTCCTCTCTTTTCCTCTTTCCCCTTTCCACCCCCTCTCTTCTCACTCCCTCCCTTCCACCCCCTCTCTTTTCCCTCTTCCCCTCTTCCCCTTTCTTTCCCCTTCCACCTCCTTTCTTCCCTCTCCCCATTCCTCCTCTTCCTTTCCACCCCCCTCTCTCACCCCCTTCCTCTTCCACCCCCCTTTCCTCCCCTCCCCTCGACCTCCCTCCGCCGGGGTCAACGTCTTGAAGAGATCTCGAAGGGCGACCCCGAAAGAGCAGGGATCAACTTCACTAATCTCGCTCTTGTGAGGGAAAGTTCAATTGGAATCTTGTCCAGCGGCGAGGGGGGGGTAGGGGAGGGGAGGGGGAAGGGGAGGGAAGGGGGTATGAAGACAAGGGAGGGGAAGGGGAGGGGATGAAGGCAAGGAGGGGAAAGGGGAGGGAGGGGGAGGTGAGGGGGATGAAGGCAAGGGAGGGGGAGAGGGGGGAAGGAGGGATAGGAGGAAGGGAGGAATGAAGGATAGAGAGAGGCGAGGAATGAAGGATAGAGGGAGGGGAGGAAAGAGGGAGAGAGGGGTAGGGGTTGTATTGCAATCTGGGGTCCTCGAGTCGCCGGTGTCCGCCTCGCACTGCAGCCGGGGTCGTGAATCCTGTCATATGGCGTGACCACATGACATTTTTCGACCTACCCTCCCCCCCCTCCACTGATCGACCCCTCGCCCCTCCCCTCTCTCGCTGAAGACACGAGCATCACGAAATTCACACAGGCACAAGGACAAAAAAAATCTAACAGACATACACATACACACACGCACACGTACACATAAACACACACACGAACATACACGTACATACACGCACACACACGCAATCTCGAGCCGCTGTCCCCTCACACCCGCGGCGCTCGCATCCAGCTCCCTCTTCCAGCACAAACCTCATCATCATCAGCTTCCCATACCGAGGAATTGAAACCCTCATACAATACCCTTCAAACACCATCTGGACAAATGAACAATACCATGAACACACGATGCTCCGAGAGGGTGTATGCAAATGAATACACCCCCTCCCTTACTCCTCCTCCTCCCCCTACCCGTTTAGACACGCAAAACAAGCGCTTAAAAAAAAAAAAAACCTTAAAATGGCGCCAAAAACCCAGCGTGATTATCGGTCTCCATCCCACCCCGGACGATAATAAATCTTGCAAAATGCCCTGAGCTCAGCACGAGGCTCGGCAGCGCCACGGTTCGCAAAGACCTCGTGTGCTGACTTGTACTTGATCCCGAACGCTGGCGATGCTGCACACGCGGGCACGCACGCAGCGCTGCACGAAACCCAAGTCTCGCGTCAGAACCAATGAAACGAGAACTCCCCAAAAAACAACAAAACGAGACACCTAGAAAGTTTTAATAAAATAGTAAGTAATCAAAACTAGAAAAAAAGAAGCAATAATTATTCGTCGAGCTGATAACGAACTCAGCGCGTGATAAAGAGGTCTCCAAGAGGGGAAGAATCCACACGGCGCCAACAAACAAACAATCACACAAAACAAACAAACACAATTTTCAATCCCTGCTTAATCAAATACAAGAGATGAGGTTTTCCGGCGGTTGCAACTGTTGGGGCAGTGCTGAGGGTGCAGGGTAGTGCGAGGGGGGACGGAGGGAAAAAACCATAGGGGCCAAGAGATGGCTAGGAATGTGGACGGTGGGTGAGGGGGGGGGGGAAGGGAATTGGCTGATGAGGAAAGACAAGTATTGAAGAAGAGAGGAGTGGGGAGGTGAGGGGGGAGAGGAAAGGGGAGAGGACGGCGAGGAGAGAGAAATGGGAGAAAGGAGGAAGGTGGGGAGGAAGGACCAGGTGCAGGAGGAGAGGAGGGAAAGAGAAGGGAAAGGGAAAGAAGGAAAGAGAATGGAGAGAGGGTGAGAGAGAGAGGAAAGAGAGAAGAGGTGAGGAGAGGGGAGAGAGGAGGGAGAGAGAGGAGATGAGTGAGGAGAGAGTGAGGAGAGTGAGAGAGGAGAGAGAGAGAAAGAGAGAGAGTGAGGAGAAGAGAGAGAGAAGAGAGAGAGAGACGAGAAGAGAGAGAGAGAGAGAGAGAGAGAGAGAGAGAGAGAGAGAGAGAGAGAGAGAGAGAGAGAGAGGATGAGAGAAGAGAGGAGAGATTGAGAGGTGAGGAAGAGAGTGAGAGAGTGAGTGAGTCGGAGAGAGAGAGATGAAGATGAGACGAGGAAGGAAGAGGAGAGAGTGAGGAATGAGAGAGGTCAATGAGAGAGAGCGAGAGAGAGAGGAGAGAGAGGAGAGGAGAGAGAGAGAGAGAGATGAAGGGAGTCGAGAGAGAGAAGAGAGAAGAGAGAGATGAGAGAAGACAGAGAGAGACGAGAGAGGAGAGAGAGACGAATCGAGGAAAATAAACCAAGTGAAAGGTCAATGGCCTCAAAGAGAGGAGTAAATGAAACAAAGGAAAGAGGAATCAAGAACTGACAAAAAAACTCCCCGCCCAAACCCCCGATAAATAAAATAAATAAATGAATAAAAAAAGAAATAAATAAATAAAAGAAAGAAGAAAGAAAAAAAAAAGAAGAAGAGAAGGGCGCCAAAGGTAAAGGGGAAGGAAGCAAAATAAACAGAGGAAAAGGGGAGGGAGAAGGAGTGAGTGACGGAAGGAGGGAAGGCGAGGCAGAGGCCGAAGGAGGGAGAAAGAAGGTCGAAGGAAACGGCGCGGAAGGGATTGATTGAGGATGGAAGAGAGAAAGGAGAGAGAGGAAAAAGAGAGGAAAAGAGAGAAAGGGGAGAGAGAGAGAAAAGGAGAGAGAGAAAGAGAGAGAAAAAGAGAAAAGGAGAGGGAGAGGAGAATGATGGAAGGCGATAACACGAATGAATACCTTCATGAAGAAAATAAAAGCTTGTAAAACATTATTCACACGAATTTTGGGCGACGTGCAAGGTCATTATGAACCAAACCAAGAGGAAACAGGATAATCGGAATGAAAGAAAACGATAAAGCAGACGTAAAGAAAACGGAAACGGAAAAAGCAAAGAAAACGACAACAAAAGGCTGGCAAAATCACCCAACATACAATTTTCTAACATAAACTTAAGTGAAATTATGTTTAATTTGCAGGAAATAAACTTCTTTTTTCTTTTTTTTTTTTTACTTATCCGCCAAAGCCAACCTCTTCTAATGAAGGTCGAAGGTTGTTGACATAAACAAGATTCGAAAACATGAGGCAGTGGAACATGGCGTACCCGGGAGCTGTTTGTCCCACTCGTTCACGTACACGCAGACAAACGTACACACAAATACATTCTCCAGCGCACATAAAAACTTGCATAAAACTGAGACATTGGCACAGACACGCACATACACTTGCAATATACACATACAAAAGCCGGCAAACACGCACAAACACCTTTGTCCACACTCGGTTTGTCTGTGTTTCTGTTCTCTTTCTCCTCTCTCTCTCTCTCTCCTCTCTCTCCTCCCCTCTCTCCCTCTCTCTCTCTCCTCCTCTCCTCTCTCTCCTCTCCTCTCCCTCTCTCCCTCTCTCTCCTCTCTCTCCTCTCTCTCTCTCTATCTCTCTCTCTCTCTCTCTCTCTCTCTCTCTTCTCTCTCTGCTTCTCTCTCTCTCTCCACCCTCTCCTCCCTTCTTCCTTCTCTCCTACTCTTGCTTTTCTCTTCTTCCTTCTTTTCTCTCCCTACCTCACCCTGCTATCTCACTCCTCTCTCCTCTCCCTCCTCCTCCCTATCACTCCTCTCCAACTCTCCCTCTCTCCTTCGTTCCCCCTCCCTCTCCTCTCTCCTCCCTCTCTCTTTCGCGTCGCCTCCTCTCCTC